AAAAGCACATAAATATATTTAACATAAATTAACATATTACATATTAACATTAAAATTAACATATTATATATTAACATTACATATTACATATTACATATTAATTAACATAAATTAACATATTATTAAACATAAATAAATATATTATATGTATAACAATATACATTTAATAATAATATAATAATATAATAAATGCATGATAAAATGCATAACAACATAAAAATAATAACATAATGAAATGCATAATAATTTTTATATAAAACGTAATTTTAACAAACCTAAATATATTATATGCATAAATAAATGTATTAAATGTATAAATATTATGGTGAATCGAAAGTTCGTGAGTTTGTTTTTTCTTTTTTGATTGAAAATGAAAAGAATACCATTCAATTGTAATTAGTGTTGCAATTAACTCGATTTTTTTTTGTAGAAAAAGTGACTTATGCCACTTTCAAAATAAACGGCTCATGTAAATTGTTCTAACGATACACATACATGTATCTTCATTCAACATGTTTTCGTTGAAAATCCTAATCAAAGGGGGTAAAGGGAAAGGGTGAGGAGGGGAAGGACGATGACGATGAAAAGGCGGTTTAGTTATGGTTCTTTTATATCGTATAAGTTACGGACATTAATAAAGGGTAGAAGATCTACGTTATTAACCTCCGTAAGGAAGAAAACATAATGTTATAGATTAGGCATTTTTACGAGTACTTCAAAGAATAATTCTACATTTTGTAGTTAAAGAGAGTAACACTTGTTCAACGAATTTCAAATCGGTTATAATTTCAAAATTCATATGTTTTATTTAAAATTTTTGTACAAATTTTCTTTTGTGAAAATTTGTCGAACGTGACTCGACGTTTGATTTATTCAATTGTTTTACTTTTTTCTTTTTGTTTTTTTTTAAGTAAATAACAAACGAAACGTTGATAAAAGTGTTGATAATTGTTGATAACTGTTGAAGTTATAATTAAATGAAAAATATATAATTCATAGTGCAATGTGGGAGGGAGGGGGTTTAAGAAGAAAAGAAAACAAAAAAAAAACATTCGTATCGTCGATAATTTTTGTCACGAAAAAATCAATGCAAAATTATTTTCTATACTTTTTGTGCGTGTATGATTATTTAGAATGATATCAAAGATAATATATATTATTGCAAAGATATTCGATATCTCTTACAATTGATAAAAATAAATAAATAAATAAACACGTAAGAAGTTATACTTCTTTAACGTACCAAAACGAACATAACCTCAATAACCTCAAAAATAACTTCAATTATTTCGCGTACCAATATAATATTCTACATTTGTCGAAAAAAACGATAATATGATTAAATAAAATGCGAAGATTATTAAATACCATTGATAAAGGTTTTAATTAATATGTACAATCTAATTTATTTATATTTACGAATTAATTCATGTCGTAAATTTGAAATCGTTTTTCCCGCGCATACGTAAATATCTCGACAACTTCGTGGTGTTGATTTTTCGGTCGCATCTAACCTCACTTTCCAAAACACGCAAAAAGAAGTATAATATTGAAAATATAATATATAATATATAATATATAATTCAAATATGTAATATATAATTCAAATATATAAAATATATTTCAAATATATAATATATAATTCAAATATATAATANAGTATAATATTGAAAATATAATATATAATATATAATATATAATTCAAATATGTAATATATAATTCAAATATATAAAATATATTTCAAATATATAAAATATAATTCAAATGTATAATATATAATTCAAATACATAATATATAATTAAAAAAAAAAAAGAAAAAAAAGAAATCAAAATCTGTTATTAGAAAGAGAAGTTTATAAGAGAGACACCTTGTATATAGATCGTCTTTGTGACGAGGAAGAAAGGAAGGAAGAAAAGAAAAAAAGAAAGAAAGAAAGAAAGAAAGGAAGGAAGGAAGGATATATTTTAAGTTTCGGCCACCGAGCATGATCGCAGGCAGCACGTTGCATTCCAATGCAAATAGCTGTTGCCTTCGGGGATGACCGTAATCGTCGCAATTTCATGCTTCTCAGAAATTCAACCTGCCTACACCTCCCCCGCGCTATTCAGATGAATCTGCTACTTTTCTTCCCCCACCCCTTAACTATCTTCCTCTAACTCTGATACCTAAGAGGAACGATAAAACACCCTCGGGTTATTTTCGATTCGATATTTTATCGGCTAAATGGCTGGAAAAAAAAAAAAATCACACGATAAAGTAGAATAAAAAGAAGTAGAAGTAGAAGAAGAATAAGAAAATGATCGAAGGGTATTTTAAAGATCGATGAAAAATCATAGATCGTTTACACACGTCCCTACCCCCTAACCCCAGTCTTAACAGGGCCCCTACCACCCTCTTCCAATCTAAGAGAAGAAAAATAAGAAGAGAAAAAGAAAGAGAGAGAGTTATGTTTGTTTTTAGGTTATGTATCGGCGACATATAAAATCGATCACTCGAATCAGTATCGATCATCGGTAGGAATCAACACGTCGAGTCAACATTTGCCTGATGTCGAGAGATCGAGGAAGAAGAGCTTGTCTGACCGGATTAAAGAATGCTATAGTTGAAGGAATCCGGATTTAATGAGTGTGTGTGTGTGTGTGTGTGAGAGAGAGAGAGAAGGATGTTTGTTTTTTTTTTTTTTTTCCAAAAGAAATCGGAGAACGTACGAAATCTGTTCGGAGAAAGAAGGAAGATTGGGAAAGGAACAAAAAAATGAAGAGTGAGAGAGAAAAAGAGAAATGTTATCTGTGTGCGAGAGTCAGTTAGTCAGTGAGTCAGTCAGTCAGTCAATCTTCTGTTTATTAGAGCGTAGGATCATCGTCAGTCGGATGAAGAAGCATGAAAACGTGCCGTGAAACGAATTATCCGCTAGTCAGATCCGATCGGATTATGCTGTCAAGTTTACGTCCAATGTAATCTGATATATACTATGGAAGATTACGTGTTCTTTAATATTATAATAAAAAAAAACGAGACAATATTGTTGTCTGCTACCCATTTTGATAATCGTCATTATTATTTCGTGTTATTGTAAATGGATTTTCTCAAAAATAAAAATACAAAAAAAAAATACAAAGTAAGAAATATGAACGGGTGTATCTCGAATAATATCTGATGGAATGAATATTTATTTTTTTTTTGTTTGTTTGTTGATAAAAATGTATATTAACATTTTTGTTATTAATTACACGTAGCAGATAATTTAATTTATATGAAAATAAAATAAAGTATGGATATATTAATAGATATTCTTGTGTATCAAGTAATATCTTATAGAATGGAGTATATATCTTTTTATTTTGTTGTGATTAAACAAAAATATAATTATACAATATATATTAAGAGTTTCGTTACTAGCAATGCATATAACGATCTTCAATATAAATACCCTGATTACGAACGATCAACCGATCCGTATATGAGGGTTCTCTAATAACTGAGACAACCGAAACGTAAAATTTTCTGTCAGGAATCCAAAAAAAAGAAAACAAAAATACTTACGTAAAATTATTATAAAAGAGAGAGTAAGAGAAAGAAAGATAAAGAGACAGTAAATCAACGAAAGTTAATGAGAAAAGAAATAATCATTTTTCGTTAAATATTTAAACTATATTAATGCATATAACAATAATAATAAAATTTTTAGTTTACTTAAATATTAGGTACGAAGGGTACGAGAAAACATAATACAATTATATAAAACATTATAATAAATTTTCAAAATAATAAAATAAGTTATAATAAAATAAATAATAATTTAGAAAAAATATAAAACAAATATAAACGATAGAAACCAGAAAACAAAAATTTATCTACACAAATATACGCATTTCAAAAAGAAACCTAATAAACATAAAAATACACACATTGCATACTTTATCTGTCGTAAAAAAAACAAAAACAATATTTAAAAAAAAAAATACTAATCCCCAAATTGAGATAAATATTGATAGAAATAAGGGGTGAGTTAAGCATCAAACAAAAATTGTGAGAGAAAAAAAATAATTAATGTAATGATAAGACACATTGTAAAAATACTTTGCAAATTGTGCAATAAAAATCTGATATATATAAATCATATATTTTAGTAAAGAAATAATCGAT